AAAACGTTGTTTAAAAAAAGTTTTTTATTCTACGGAAATTCCAAAATACGACTCCAAAATTATCATAAACAATGTATATAACAATTTGGGGCACTCGTGATTTTTAATGAATTTAAAAACTAAGAAACTGTTATTAATTCAGTTTCGAAAATAATAAAAAGTTATCTGAATGGCCATAGATGTTACATTTTAATTAGGCCTTATATAACCATATTATAATAAATAGGCTAATATATGAAAATTGAAAACATAAACATTTAATGTTTTGGAATCTTTCCAGATACTATAACATTCTTTCCATGAAAATCGATCTTGTTTGTTTAAGTGGCAATGTAGCCCGGTACTAACTTTATAGAAGCTAGTGCGTTATTTCTGTACAGCCGGGGCTTTACTGGGTTAATATGTAAATCTGTAATGGCAAATTGCTCCTTAGACAAGAATTACAGGAATTTTGTGCCAATACTCAGCAATAAAGAGACATAGGAATGCGATAGCCGTGGTGTGGGAGAAGCGCGTTATAGCGGTATAATACATGATCTCCACCCCCGCCCAGCGCATTTGGCTACCTGTCGAACGGTTTCATTGCAACAGGTATTTTAAGAATCGCTTTCCAACGGATTAATTTTCGAATTTAGAACTAGGTTTGGGCTCAAAGTAGGACAGGAGCTCAGTTCTTGACTATGAACGTCATTTCTGTATACTTCGCTTCGTTAGAAAAATTATGGTATTTTCCGAAATCGTTCATATTAAAATGTGTTTAAGGGGAGTCGCTACTGAAACTAGTGATTAAAAAAAAAATCCTTATAAAATTATCATATACTTTTTTAAGTTCATTTAGTCTTAAAAAAGATTTACTGCTGTTAAAGTAAGAAACATTTTTTTTACATACTTTTTGGAGTTTTTAAAGTTTTTGGCGGGGAAAAATGGGGGTTATTTAATCTCTTATAACTATTTAACTACTCAACCAATTTTATTGTTTGATATCTCATTTTTAAAGAGCAAAGAAAGCACAAACTTTCTGTGCATACTCATGTTATTTTCTCAATAAGTTTATAAGTTATGGCTTCAAAAATAAGTTTTAGAAAAATGTATAGGTAATAAGTTTTTATAATTTTTTCATGTACTTTTATTTACCCAATTACAATATCCATGCACAGAAAGTTGAGTTATAGCATAAACAATGTGTGGTAAAAATTTAATTCATATAGCTGTAATAGTTAAAAAGTTATAAGAACTTATATATATATATATATATATATATATATAAATTAAAGTCGCGGGTAACAGCGGTTGAAGTTTATACTAGGCCTAGTTGATGCCCCAAAAGAGGTGTGCACGCTTCACTTCAAATATTTTTTCACAGTGATAAAAATATATATTATACTATGTTATGTTTTTCTGAAACCTAACAATCCATAGAACAAGATAAAAAAATAATAAAAAATCATGTTTTTTTACAAAATTGGTAATTTTTTAGTAGCGACTCCCCTTAACGACCAAATTGTTTTGTAAAATATATTAGAATCAAAATTTGGGTGAAATCTTCCATACAATAAGGGTAGAATTTGTTTAGATAATTTTTCAAAATATTCGCACGATAAAATTACAATTAGTCTATTATTTAATATTATTGGTTTTGTAAAACAGTTTTCTATATCTTTAAAAATAGTTTATAGTTATTCTTCTGTGAAAATGAAAATTTTTCATAATTAATCACTTTGATTGAAATTATAATTATTTTGATTAGAATCGAGCCTTGTTTATCAGTGACTGTTGTATAAAATACTATCTTTGCTGAAAATGTCCAAACATATCTCAATGACAATCACCAAGAAAGTTTTACTAATAAGAAATTAAAATTCCCTGTCTTGTAGAAATAGACATAGAAATAAAAAGAACTTGTTAAAATGTTCATTTACTGTAGGACAATTCATGACTTTAAATCTCGTATTTGCAGTATATTTGCAGTGGTGTTTAAATGTGTTAGTGTGTATACAGCATGTGTATGTGTCTGATACACACGTTAGTTCTAAGAAGGAGAACTGAGTGGCGGGTGTTTATACAAATGAGACACAGTGAGATCATTGTTGGCATTGACAGCACGCGCTGCCTTCTTTGAGGAAACTAGAGGCCCACCCAAACTCATATCAATATCGGATTTAACATTATCTTTCTGGGTAAAATATTACCCAATAAAAACTATAGTTTCTCTATTTAATATTTTACTGGAAAATCTTATAGTAACTTTTCAAAACTACTATAGGAATATACAAATTATCATGTGAAAAATACTTGTAAATTGTAATCACACTACTTATGACCATTACAAAAAATATATATGGAAAACGTGATCGTAAAAACAATATAGAACAACAACAATGGAGTGAACAGCTGATTTGCGACATCTGTTTTAATAAACTGCGGCAAACCGAGGGAATCGCGTTCGGCGCTTCAAAGTGGCCAGTATAATTGTGATCATTAATGGACCATAAGTCGCCAGTCATGCGCGGTGAGTAACAAACTATAACTGAGACTTCTCTTGGGAATTGGCAGGAAATAAACATAAGCTGTGGAACTGATCATGAAAATATTAATACTTTTGATTATGTTTGCAACTGAAGGATTTTGTATAATGTTGAAGATTAAACCTGATTGAACTTAGACATTTACACAGCCTCAGTAGACATTTACTTACTATGTAGGTTAGCTACAATATGGGTATTTCACACGTTGTATTGCAGATTGCAAACTAAATGCAGACTTTTGATGACTTTACATGAACATTGGCCTTGTATAGATTTCAAGAAATCATTAGACATGTGTTTAACCCCCACCTCTCATAATGTACCAACCAACATCCAACATAATGTAAGGTACATTCTGAATCATACCATTAACTTTAAACAATTACTAACAAATTTTATATATTATAGATTAATTTCATTCAAGTTAATGATGAAACATGTCACAACTTAACTAACTCGTCTATAAAATAGACTACCTATTCTACAATTCACGTTTACTACAGATGTAACAGACCACACTATTAGACCGTTAGAGGTCCGTTACAACAACAATAAACATGAACTAGTTTTGGTAAAATGGCCCGAAAAATTACTAGAACTATTAAGAGAAACTAGTTGATGGTAAATACGGAGACTGGTTTAGCAGTTGTCCGACGAGCAGAAGGGTGCACTAGCTTATAGTACAGGGAAAATTTCAAGCTACAGTTGGCTTTTAAACATTTTCAATGAGTAACAATAAAGAAATTGTAATTAATGAATAATTAAAATCCACCTTTTTATAGTAAAAATATATCTTAAAGTAAAAATTCAAATCTATTTAAACATTTAGTTTAATAACTTGTAGAAATTATTGTGAGTTTACAAAGGAATTTAGTCACAATACCATTTAATGGTCATATCAGTTGAATTTGCCATACATGTTTCAGAAGGACTTTTAGCGTGGCAATTCCAAGTATAAAAACCACATATTTTTATGTTGCAAGTCATAAAGTACCCCACAGTTTTAACTTTGTACCGTTCTAGTCCCTGTTTTTGTTATATCAATTTCCATGTTATAATATTTTCTTTTCCTTCGTGAGCAGTATTTTAAATTTTTTGTCTAAACATTACAAACCCTGGCCTTGGTGCAAATTATCACCATACTGTATATGCAAGAGAAAACGAAATACATGATTCAGCCGTAAACAGTCCATAGCCTCATTGTGTCACATTGTTTTCACATCTCAACCTTTATCAGTTCATATTTGTGATAACAGATCACATGATTTACGTTGACCGCGCCCGCAGAAATATGAACAATATGAGAATTGAGAAACACGCCAGCTGTTGGACTAATGGATTATTGTTGCACCAATCTTTCGGTTAGCATAGTCGCTTTATTGTTTCTCGAAAGCGATTGAATAAATAAGAAAGTTCAATCGGATAGTCGTAAAATCTAGATTTGTTTGAAAGTTAGTCATAAACCCACTCAATATGCATGAGTAGTTGTTAAATCGTGTATGAGTTTGCGGTAGTTGTTGAAAAGGAGTTTCGCTAAATTAAATGCGTTGCACTTTATGAGTCTTGATGAATTAGTTTTGTTCATGTATTATCAAGCGGATCATTTTATGCTTCGCGCACCTGGTTGTCACAATTTCATAGAAAATGTAATTTAATATTGTATTCACACAACACTCACAACACCAGCTACCATCAAACCTAACCTAACCTACAAACCTATAAGAACATAGATGGTGAGGTTTGGGAATGTGTTTTTTAGGGAGGGTCTACATAATGGAAAAACATAGCGTCTTGGTGTAACTTGTATTTGAAAGCAACCACAGAGCAGCTGTTTAAGCAAAGAAGCTGTTCAATTAGGTTAGATCCAGATTGAATGCAGATAATCAAAGTAAACACGTTGGGCAGCTGTACACTGTATCAACATATGGTCTAGGCGATGTTTTCAGGTCAGAGTGTAACCAGGCAGTAATTGAAGGCGGGAAACTGCCTCTTGAAATGCAATAAACTATAACAATCTTCTTTGACTAAATTTAGAAGGCAGCTGCCGCCGCCCCGCGCCTTATCACTTCAATTTCCGCCAGCGTCAACAATTGGCCTCAAGAGCATAACGACGGCCCAATTGATAACTACCAATTGGTCACTGACTGTGGGGTGCTCCGAGGTGCTTGCTTGGACCACTCCTATTCCCAGGATTATCGCACAGGAGTGAGACAGAGGCCTCTTTTGATTCAACGCTAATGGTGGAATAGGTCGTAAGTATAACTAAACTAACGATATCCACGTATGTAAATCGAAAATACATTGAAATACTGCGAAACAGAGCATCCCTCCCAAGTTCAATCATAATTTACTGTATTCAAATGTATTTGGAACATCCAACTGGGTGTTAAAATACCTTTTGTCTAAAATATACGCTTGATTCCATTTGTGTTGGTTTTAGTAAATAATTGAAAACAAGTTGTGACTGGGACTGACCAGTGAGGGAGGCTGGCGACTCGTTGTTGGATGTTGAAGGAGTTGAAGTCCCACTGGCGGGAGTTTTGGGTCCTTGGCGGTCCTGCATCGCCGCCAGAGCAAGGATCGTAGCCATGTTCTGCGGCAAGCTCAGCTGTGACAAAAGAGAAGAATATTAGCGAGTAGACAGGTAATGGTAAAGAGCTTATGAATGTATGAACAGCAAATAATAAAATAATATTAACAATGGGACAATAACTATGGGTTGCTATAAAGTTGTCGTTGACATCGTTATTATTTTTATTTGGTTTTGATGTACGGTATTTTGGAGTTTAAAGCATGGCAGTAGGCATTAGGTTGCATTATGGGAGACACGGGACAAATACTCCATCCTTTTTTGTCATAGTCGTACTTATTTAATTTTAAGTGTAAAACATCAGTGTTATTTTTGTATTACATCTTGTCAGTAACTGTTTAACCACAAGTTTTCTTTCTGTCTCACACATTTTTGTTGTTAAAACCACTCTGAATTAATTTTATGACAACTTTATCTAATGGGGTTTTCTCAAAGTCGAATTTGTAACTTGAATATTTTATAGAGTTACCTCACTCTACCACATTTTATAGTCATCAACCCATTATTCAACTTTTTTCATTTTAAAAGGAATACAGTAAAGTTACAAAATAAATATACAATAGCTAAAAATACTATAACGTTAACAATAAGTACTTTTGTCGTGTAAAATATCTCAGACTATGTTCCAGGTTTCAATTGAACCGTATCGAAGGCCGATCAATAATTCGCAAACGACCGCTACTTATTTTAGCGACTTGGCACCGACGCGGAAGACCGCTTCTTTGGCATCGCCGATAATGACTCAGATACCGCGGGTGTCGAGGCGATCGCGGGCAAAATCGGATCGTTACAACACGGATGGCACCCGTTTGTCAACAAAATCACCGATCCTGGCGACCGATCAACAGAGGAAACATCTCGGCTATTTGGCAGTTGATGAAAAACTAGTTTCTTCATTGACAGAATCGCTGTATCGTCCAAGCCGGTGTCAGTCTTTTGGAGTGACGGGAAACGCGACTTTGGATTATAGAAGTTGATGCGAAACAGATGTTTGGTGTTAAAATACTGTGTTTAGGTTATGTTTGATCTGAGGTCATTGGTTTAAAGGTAACTGAAACGGTATATGCGTGTATAAATTACCAATCACATTTATGGAACAAGTAACACCGGTATTTCTTTCAAATACATGTGTAAGACCGCAGACGATACCAAAGATTCTTTTCATCAGTTCACATGTTGATTTTTATTATTTGTCGTACATATAATGATGTTACATTCTATAAACACTAACCAGTAAATTACTAACTTCAGTAAACGAGTTCATTTAAAATGTGCGCACTGTAACTCAAACCTTAAAAAAACGGCGGCGCCGTTTGAAACAAAAATAAAAATGATTGGAGCACGCATCATAACCCAGACTTTGAGCTTGGTGACAGAAACACGCGGACAAACATCGAAATACAAAGAAACAATGGAAAGAAAAACAAAAGTGGGCAAACAATGCGGGGTTCGGAACTAGAGCGGCTAGCGGCGATTAATATGCTAGCGCGGCCCGGCTAACACCTTACACCTTTTTCTGCCAGTTCGGGGCTCCACGCCCATTTTTCGAGCTATTCCAGCTTTCATCGCCATTTGCACACAATGCCATTATATGCGCCATCTTGAGCGGTTTTCGCATGTGTAATATCAGTTTTCTGCGGCCACACTTTCTCCACTATTGTCTTACCGCGGCCAAAGAGTACTGTAACACTGACATGATGTAACATTTTGTTAGTACCTTGTTACAAAATATATAGAAACTAAGCTGCGTAAACAAGAGCTTGCTTCGTAGACATACAACATTTGGTGAATAGAAAATTAACACAGATGTCGTTGATGATTGTGCTTCAAACTATTAATCTAACAAACTAGGATCTTAGCCATGAAGAATCTCTAAAATTCTATAATTATCTTTTCCTTAAACCATCTTCTTTCTAGTCGGCTGTCTAATATAAATAACATGTACAATGTACCCTGCTATTCAAATGAGCAGTTGGTCTAACAGGCCATATCGGAGTGTTTTGTTTCACCCAGAAGAAACGTAAACCATTTAACCCTTTTACAATGCCCAGTCAAAAAAATAGATCCATCATCCTCATCCTAGAGGTTCTCACACAATCCTTACCCTTGACCCATAGGATCTACGCTCGATACAGAACCAGATGCGAGCGACAAAAAATCTTCCTCAGATATCGGGCAAGGGACATCTGGTTAGTGGATAGGGTTATAATTACCGCAGCAATGAGAGTCCAGACAGAAGGCAGTGGCAGTATCCCCGTTTGATAAATGTAGTCCATCCAGGTGGCAGTGGTGCTGGTTTGCCTACGACTATACCGGACCGTTTCTCATACGTCGTCCCCTTGTTTATGTTGAACTGGTTCCGATTTTTATTTAGTTTATCGAAATATTTCATGCATTCGATTTATGCCGAACAGGTGGTGGAAATCGGGGGCGAAACGAGGGTATTGGTATAGTTAAAATGTGGTCTACAACGGCTGTAATGTATTGTTTAGCATAGTCACAATTTTGACTTTAATTTCAATGACAAACTTTTTCTCCATTTATGATCACGATGAAGATATTTGCAAAACAGCGACGTCGATTAGATCATACGAGTATGGCAGAGTGAAGCTAAAACATCTTGATCGTAAAAGGAAGTTTGTAAACAACAAAACCTCAACTGTATACAAGTGAAGCCTATAAAAACCCACTGAGGCATTCTGTGGTCTGCTCACTCCGACAACCACAGAAAACCTGCAGCTTTTTTGTTAACGACCACCTCTTGTGGTACTGTGGGAAAATGTGTTTATTGGGGGTTTGGGATTAACCATGAGAAATCAATACAATGGAATAATATCTCATCTTATGGTAGTTACTATGTTGTGGGGATCAAAAGGGTGCCTCAAGTCAAGTATAATGATCATTTTAATCTTTTTCCACATCAGGAAGTTTTGACATGCGTTTTTAAAAGAAATTGTGTTCCATTTACAGTATTTCCTAATACTATATCACTATTCAATGAAATATAATTCTCGACCCAACGAAAAAGGGAGGATTGACGGATAACAATAACCCAATACTAGACTACTTCTGGGACCAACATAAAGTTGAGGACTATTTGGTCACCTCCGAACAGTAATACACTTTACTGCACGCAGTAACTGTTGAGGCGCTGAAATCGCCGCATTTACGTTTGTTAGTGAGAGACGCGCAGTTTCGTTGATTTACCGCAAATAAATTCTGAGGTTGGGAAAACGCGAATGTCTAACGCATCCCACTCCTTGTCACTTCAGACAAAACTCGTCTGCCAAGTGTCCATTGTATGACTTGACACTGGGTGTAAACCTTCGGGTATTTCGGTTATTGCTAAAAACTCTTCGGATACAGTATTTTCAAACTATTTTACGTGGTCACGCAATTTTATGGTTCATGAAAATAGTGCGTTTAGGGAAAATAGTTAGGGTTTCAATAGTAGAAGCATATAATGGAGTTTTTTTATTCTATGCCAGAAGCTACGTGTGGTTTAAAATTTTGAATGGATTAATTCTAGGCGTCACATAGTCTGTGAAATAGGAATCATTTATGTCGGGCCAATCGTTTAAACATGTGTTCCAAACGTGAACTCCGCTGCAGACAAGAAACTCTCAATACGATAAATGCTTGTCACTTTGACACGCTAAGAATTATATGATAAATCAAATTCAGTTTGTACATTTCATTAATTGTCAAACTACTAAAGCCATACAATTTCTTAACATTGGATTTAACTAAGTTTTGTGTATCAAAGAAATAATGACTTGAGGTCAATGATGTATGGTACTGTAGCTTAGACTCTAGACAGCCCATTCTTGAAGTTGGCGCCAGTTTATTGTTCAATTGAGCCACAGACAGAGTGCGCTGATGTAAATTATCTTTCAAATCTCATCTTCAGCATCAGAATCTTTCAAATGGTTCATCAATTCAATTTTTAAATAAAAGGTTTGCTACAGCTGATTTATTTAGACAGGCTGTCTACTCCGTTACATACAAGATACAAGTTAATGTTTGTATCTTAATTTTTGGTGTAGTTTATAAAATCTAATTACCCTAGAGTTGTTGTTGGATGCCAGACCGGCAAACTTGGCTGCCATGGTCTCGACAGCGCTCGCCGTAGGTTTGGGGCCCGCAGTACCCTGGGGTCGGGGCCCTGGGCTAGACGCGGCCTTGTGGGGCGACAATGGTGTGCGAGGAGGTGTAGGGGGCTGTGATCCGGGGCTGGTAGGGCCCGCGGGGCCCCCCATCCTGAGGCCCATTGCCCTTGCTGATAGCGACTCCAGTATCTTCCCTGCAACAAAAAAATAAAAATTTATATATATGCTGATGTTGTATATCAAAAAATTTTCAAAATCACCCAGTTAAATTATCTTTGACTTAAAAACTCAATGTTAGTTGCTAAAATGTTTTCAATAAAATTGCCAAAACAAAAAAACATACTTCCAGTGTGCAAATGAGAAATAAGGAACATAACAAACCACGTATTTCAAAAACGGTCCTCAACTTTTTGTTGCAATATTTATGCATTTTTCCAACGAGGCTTGACATAATATTACATTTATTTCCATAATAACTTTTTCTTAACTACTTCAATCGGTCGAAAAATTATGACTCAAAATTTCTTTAATCAGCTGACAACATTAGCAGTAGTTACGGTGGAATGACTGGTAAAAAACGTTACCAATGACGAAGTGGAACGTGGGTGTGAATGTCCATTGACTGACAACACCTGGCGGGATGATAAAACAGCTGTTTGTGTAAAAATAATCCTTCAACTGACGTCAGTTCCGAAGTGAAATGCATAAAAATAGAACCAAGAACCATAAACCTATACGTATTATAGGAGAATGCCAGTTTATACGTTGTAATTCTTACAAACGCTGTAATTTTGCAAAATTTCAAAGTATACATGAGTAATCTAACACACCCTAGAGAATCAATTTCATTTTAAAAGTATTCAACAATTAAACTTTGCGTATACCTTGGGTATAACTTTGCGTAAATACTACTCAAATAAGAAGTATATTTACTCCAAACAATGTAATTTGAATATTTAATTGTTGAATGGTTTGTGTTGTTTAACAAATTTAAAAAAGTTTAATAGTCCGTTACGGTATTTGTATGAGGGGAATTTATTTTTAAGGTCAAGTCTGTTTACTAGTTTTTATATGTCTTATATTGTTCATAGTATAACAGCTTACGTTCAATATTCCAATAAAATTTAAATGATTTTAATATTTAAAGAAATGTTTAATATTTTCTAATACAATGGATACATACGGCAAGAAAGCAATACTAACAGATGGAATATGTCAGAAAAATGAAAATAACAATCATAATAGTGTTTCATAAATATTGTAAGTTTAATGTTTAATTGTGTATATTGAATTTCGCACTGTATTAACAAGTATACAATCAATGCGAAAGCAACCGAAACTAATAAGTTCAAGCACAAACCACTTTAAGCGAAGAATGCTTTTAAGACCGAGTAAATCCTCCTGACATTGTCTTTAACTGTGTAGCCATTCGCCGGATTCTCGTCTAGGCCTCATATTCAGTTTTGTATTATCAGCTCGTGGATTGCGGCCAAAACGTCGGATAACAAATACATGCCAGCCGTGCCAAGAGCAGAGCCTTATTGTGGTCTGTGTTTCCTAAAATACGAGAAGAACCGTATCAATGGCGGGCAGAACTAACTGGACAGATGATTATACGCGGTAGAGAACAGAGGACAGACAAACTGACTAACGTCTTCATCAGGTGACGCGTTGCGCTTGACAGTCAGTGACGAACACGGACAACATATCAAATACTGAACACATCATTCAGAGATCAGGGATGATTCATTAAAATATATTAGTAGCCGGTGATTTAGAAAAAACGTCATTGGCATAAACACATACAACAAGTTATCACAGACTGTGATGTTATGTGTGATGATTCGGAAAAAAATTTCAAAGTCGGTATCGGTAACAATTTTAAGAACCTGTGGTACCGGGAATCGTACTCAGGTACCGACACTCAATGAAAATATAAACATTCTATTGATTGGCCCAAATTTGTAGGGATGGGCATTGCAGAATTTTGTTAAGTCACTAAGGCAATATTTGTTCATAGTTGATTGTGAAACCACAAGAACTCTTAAGGGAATGTTTAAGATTTTTATTTATAACTAATTGGGTGTTTTTACTGGTTTTCTAGAAGCATACCTGGGAATATATAGAATTTTGTAAATCTACACTGTTTGTGTGTTCACACGCATGTCGTAAGTGATAGATCTACTCCATATCCCCCAGCAGGGCTACCACAGCACCCAGGTATCGTATCAGTTTTTGTAACCGAGTCCAGTGGTCCGGAAGCCTCGATCGCGGTGTTGTCACGATGTTATCTCACTCTCTCGCCTGTCCGACCCCGTCAACCGTCACCCCGTCACAACCCGCCAACGTCAAACTGCGTCAGCTGCTGAGATTCAACCCGTTCTATTGTACAATTGCGAAAAGAGCGTTGCGAATCGGCACCCGGAAATCGCAGGAGTGCTGTGCGTCGTTGTTTGTGAAGGGCTTAAATAGACTGGAGTTAGTTCATTTGGTGAATTAGAGTATGATTTCTTTTTTTTAAGAGGTTGGCGGCCTCTTTTAACCTTGCATTTGCCCGTCCACATAGACTAAGCGCCCGTGCGTTGATCGTTTACAGCAAAGCAAGGAGTGAGCCGGTACAGTACAAAACCAACCCTATTTTCACCAACCCTGAGTAATATGTTTTGAGAGTATTTAGATATTGGATAGCTTACAACTATAACTATTAATACATATATATGTAGATGTGAGGTCTTCGGACGAATCTACAGTTTTTGCCTAATTTATATAAATCCATAAATCTAACAAGGCAACAAAACACTCTTAAAGTTTATAGATTATTCCGTAAAACTAAACATGCCTAGAAATAAAAATAAAGATTTTTTACTTCAGAAAAAAAGATTGCATTCGATTTGCCGAATTTAAGATTATTAATTGTAGAGAGCTTTTGCGCAGGAAAAAAATAGATGAGCTAGTACTGTACATAAGTAGCATTGAAGGTGAAGTACGGTATAGTTGTAGACATTACAAAAACTTGATTATTATTACAGTCAATGAATTTTACTTTCAGGAAGGTTGGGCGTCAGTACTGATACATCACGACTATTTATAGATGGACAAAAATTTTACTTATTTTATCAATACAATATTTTTTGGTGCTCTATTTTCATTTCGATCCATCCCCTACAATACAAGAATCTAGCAAACTTGTCTAAACAACGGACTACTAAATAATTTTGAGAAAAATTACAAATAATGTATTTTAAATCAAATTTTACTATCCAATACCTTTAACAAAAATATGTAAGTTTGAAAAGCACGAAATAGTTTAGGAGATATTTAAGCGGCGCAAATCGCAGAAAACACCAAACGTTGGGATTGGACGATCACGGGGTAATTGTCGGAATGGCTGGCAGTTGATTGGGCGATGTTTGCTGACATTTTGATTGACAGATTTGGCAAAAGTTGGACTCTCGACGGCCAAACGTTGCAATCCTTCTACCATGACTTATTTGTTGCTAGGTCAACATTACACTGAGCTCAATTACTTGAAAATAAATCTTGAGTCAGAAAACAGTCTGATTAATTGGGTTACTAGTTCTTATTTAATCGGTTTAAAAGTAGTTAAAAGTAGTCGGGTTAAAAGTAATATTTAATCGGTTCCAGTTGTCTTGTCAGCAACCCTTGAGTGTAGTGTATTGTAGAATTATCTAAATCCATGTTCCCATGAACATGGTAAACAATATATTTATACTGTAGGCGTAGAAAATGTTTCATTAAAGAAGTATTTTCCGAGTGTTGCGTTCTCTAATTATTCATCAACCTAAAATTAAGTTTTGCCACACTTTTATTGAAACTATAAGAAGCTACCAATATGCTATACTATTAATATAGTAAATGTAGTTTCAAGTAATGTTCTATTCGAAACTTCCACTACAATTGTTTGCGAAACATTACAAGTCAAACTACACAAAGCTTAAAGACACAATTGCGTTTATCTTTATTATCAACTTCGTTCAAATGCCGCCCAGTAATTAACCCTCGGAACATCCCAACTGTCGCATACCTACATTAGGAAACTATTGTTTTAAAAATTAAATTATGAAAACGATTTTCCATGTGTAATTTCCAGCGGACAATTAAAAACGCATTTCACGCCTTGTATTCGCGTTTCCTCAATTGCGGCAACATTAATTGTACAAAAATAACGGCCTCTGCTGGCCCAGTTGTTCACTAATTAGGATAATTGCTGGTGTGCCATTGCCATCATTGCTCTACGCTCTAGGAGACATGATTTCTCAGGAATTCGGGAAAGCAACATTAAAGTTCAAGTAATTGATCATACGAGTACATTGTTGCAAGGTTGGTAGCAATGTGTAACCAATGCTACATTGGAACATTGTTGGTTGGCAACGCTGGGTGATTAATGGTTCGCGGACACGATCATATGTTAAGTTATTGTCAGAATAATCATAACCTCAATCAGTTTTAGCATAATTCATTTGTTCAAAGATAGTCTTGTGTCATGCATGGTGTTGTTCAAATTCGACAATTTAAACACACACATTCTCTTTAGTACAACCAATATAATTTTTCATTTGGTGTGATTTGTTTTCTGGTTTAGTTTGAGATATCACGCAAATCATGCAGAACTATTTATTCTTTATTATCTGGGAACACCAGAGTTGCGTTACTATTTACATTGTAAATAAGGATATAGAAAAAGACCATTCCAATTCGTCAGATTCAAACCCAACTTCCCAATTAATACAGGGGGATTTAATAAGGAAACGCTCTGCATAAACCTAACTCCAATCCAAAATGACAATTCTCAATGGATCTGATTAAAATTGACACTCATACGTCTAGTGTTTCCTTCTTTGTTTGAAGCGTAGAGCAAAGAGAACACTAAGAAGAGGGAGGGAGAAGAGAGACATTGATAGAATAAACGTTCACAGGAAGCCATGTCCGGCCGTCTTCGATTGGTAGCACTGTAATGGCAGCCTGTTTGTTGTAATGTTGGTAATAGTGGGTTCGGGGATCTACATTGTTGATTTATAGGACAGGATGCAGTTAATGAAGTGGCCACTGCAGTTCCAAGGGGTAGAGCTGTGGCTGGCTGCAGCTGGGCTGGGAAATGATCAACGGTCAATGAAGAGATTACACGTTTACACAAGGTGATGATGAATATCTTCTCATTTGTCTTTTAACCTGT